ATTTCGTTATGTTTTCCCACCGTAGTTGAACAATACGAACGCGGGCCATATTATATTTGGTGCGAAATGGTCGAACCGCGTTGCGGCAACTTTAATGCGGGACGCGTTACTTTTTGCTTTAAGGATGTTAGACTTGGGCTGTCCACGTGGATGGAGCTTAGGTTTGGTTTTAGTGTTTATTTGCAGGTATTTTTTGTTCTGTTGTTTCTTATCAGTGGCGGTTTGCTATACTGATAATCGTTTTTGGCCGTTGGTGAATTTAAGTTGATTCCGTAAGGACCGTTCTTTTTTTTTTTCTTGGAGAGGCAGCTTCCATATGTTATAGTTGTGAAAAATGTACTTTTAAAGGCCTTCATTTAGTGTTATTTTTGATTCGACATTTTTACGAAGTGAATTCTGATAGCTTTTTTATCTTTTGCTGATTTAGTTTGTTTTTTGGTCTTTTTTTACATTTCACATTTTAATAGATTTCTCGACTTCTTGTCTGGGATTCTGAAGTTTACTGTGAGAAAAGTTCTCGAGTTCTCCAATGTTTTTATTTCTGAAATGTTTTGCGGAACAATTGAGACTGCCATTTGACGATTTTACAAGAGGCATGGTTTCTAAGAGTGTCTGGACCGGCTAAGTTTTTTTTTTTGTTTTTCATTAATTTATTGTGTACCTGTTTAACGAAACACTTTCCGAAAATACGTTTTGAACTTCATATCATAAGCTGCTCTTCCATACAACGTTTTTTAGCACTATATGTTTTGACCTGTCATTTTGTCTTTATTGCGGCGTTTAGAAGAGTGTGATGAGTGATTGCTGTCGTTGACGTTAGTGGTTTTTGAAGTCTTACGGGAGACGGTCGATACCACTCTCAATTGTTTATGCTGCCTACATAAAACTATAGATTGGGGTGTGATTTAAGAGGCGTCCAGGGTACTGACTACTACATTTTGGTTGGGTTAAGGTTAAATTGACCTTTTTCATTAGAAAAGTAGCAAATAATTAAGCGACCTTTTCCCACATCAGCTCTTAACGTTGTAGGAGAAATGGTAGGTGGTTATTTTCAACAAAATTCCAATACTGTTGATTGTGGCCTGCGTAATTTACTTGGTTTTATAAAGCATATGCAGCGCTGAAGACGCATACATTGTTCTGTTAAGCAGGTAATGCAGTTCTGAGTGGGGTGCTACTTATTCTGTAGGTTTGCGTGTGTTATGCTTTAGTGTAACGACGTGAGCAGTAAAATTGTAAGTCGGGTTTGTATATGTTATGAGGAAATTTTGTTTATTTTTTTTATATTTCAGAAAATTGAGGCCATACGTGCAATGAGCAGCGACGAAGGGGTTAGTGGCTCTACTTCCTTTCTTCCTCTTTTTAACTTTATATTGATTTTTGATGCTAATGTTTTATTTTGATAGAACTACCTACACTTATTTTTTTCAAAATCCCTTTGAGTTGTGGCTCGGATTCCCCGACAATTTATGATTACACCAGTACCATTTCAGCATAGTCCTCCACCGGAAAGAAGTGGATCACATTCTTCATCAGAGTCTCCAGCACCGAAAAAAAGCAATGGTCGCGTAAGATCTGCTTCTTCTCATTCTGCTTCAGAATCACCGGAGAAAGAGCGTTCTCCTTCGGCCTCTCCGAATCAAGGGTCACCTTCTCCACAGCGTCGATCATCTTCTCCAGAAGCTCGTCGTCGACGTTCTCCATCACCGGAAGAGCG